AAAACCCAGGAAACCAGCAAGTACTCTGTGATCAAGGGAAGGAGGCATGGCCGTCTGGGGAGCTCCACAAATGCCAGATTGCATCTGTTGGCCTGAGGTTCTGCACCCGTTTTACACCCTCCAATAGCTCCTCTTCCTCCCTAACAGCCACCTCAGCACCCAAACACCTCCGCACTGGGCTCTTATTCTATTGATGTGATGGGGACAAAGGCAACCAAGCATCCAGCAGAACTAGAAAGCCATCCAAACGAGCCTGAAGGAGTTTCTGAAGCTTAAACAGATCACCTGAATAGGAATTTGTGAAGCAGGGGTGGGCATGATGTAGCCCCCAGATGCTGGGGGACTGCAATTTCTCTCACCAGTGGCTATGCTGGTAAAACCTTACAAGAGGTGAAGTCCACCAACATAAGGTAGGCGGCAGTGCTGTAAAGTGAGCTGTAACATGATTCGTACCAGGGCAGGCCCACCCATGAAACAGAGTGAGGCATCCACATGAGTGAGGCAACGGAGTAAAAGGAACAGCACATCAAGCTGCTTCCCTGTTCCCAGCTGAAGCCTCACCCGAAGAGCCCGCAGCTACCTCCAGGGGCTCCTCTAGAGAAGCCCACCAGTCATTTCTCACCATGGTGGGGCTGCCCAGAACCTTTGCCAGTCCTCTGTGGCTCTGGGGCTCAGGGACTCAGTGAGTGGTGCAGGAAAAGACCCAGCCAGGGCATACAGGACTGGAACTGCCCCGTGGCCAGCAACAGTTGATCAGAGATGGCAAGGAGGTTCTCTTATGGACTGTTCAGGCACAGTGGCATCCCCTTATCTGCAATCAGGAATCAATGAAAAGGGAAATGGCTCTGTTGTTGGCTGTCCTGCAAGCACTGACCGAATTGCTTTCATTGTACGGATTCATGAAGTTCATGCTTTTGTCTGCACACGGAGAGAAGGAGCAGATGGGGCAGACACCTGTGAGATCATGGTAGGACAAGGCTTGAAAGAAGGGCTCTGTTTCTTGGCATTGGCCTCCCTGCCAGCTTGGTCTGTGCAGGGTAACCCAATCCCCCAGACCAAAGGAGGTTTCTCCAGCCTGTTGTACATAACCCCAAATCTTGCATAAAGTTTCCATTGGTCTCCCCAGCAAAGGAAACCCACCCCACTGACATCCCTGGGACATCTCCCCACTCTGGGCAGGGGCAACATGTAGCAATATTGTAAATAGGCAGTATCTATACATGACTTGTCAAGAATCCCCTACTAGTGTACTAGAATGAGTCAAACCGGTTGGATATGTTCAGCCTTGAACATTTCCCCTACCGTTACAGGGAATGGCTGATTGATGGTTGTCCTCGGAGATGGCCATAGGTAGACCTTTCCCTTCCTACATACATCCAAATGTGCTAATAAAGATATCTATGAGAACAACAAAAGCAAACTAGGCTTGACATTTTGGCAGTCTGTGCTGGAACTGGGCCTGAAAAGGAGGGTGACTTCACTCTCTGCAGGGTTCCTTTAGAAATTGATACAGAATAGGAATTTGTTTGAGAGTCAGTACTGTGAACCCATCTTATGATCAGTGACTAAGTGACCGGGTTCAGACAATATGTGTTGAGTGTAAGTTGTGGATGAACGATGGGTTGTTGTTGAAACAGGGGTCATCATGTTGTCTGAACCCTGCTGAAATAAAAAGCCATGATGAACAACCCACAGTTCACAATCCAACAACAATCCATTATTTGTGCTTAACAAGTCATAGTCTATTATCACAGCTAGTTTTAGACAGCATGACAATTCATGGTTCAGCCCATGATTCAAGAGCAACCCATGCTCAGCCAATACCAAGTCCTTCAGTCTGGGTTCTCATATTGCTGAACCCAGACTATATATCTAAATAAATCATATATCACAGAAATTCCAGTGATCTCTATCTAGAGAAATTGAGCCCTGGGCAATGTGCTGGCATCCATGAAAGGCTTCACTGCTAGGGAAGGGAAAGAATTTAATTTAGCTTGTGTTTTGATAAGAACTTTCCTAAATCTAAACATCTTCCCCATAAACAGGACAGTAAGAACCTGAGATTTTAAACCGTAAAATTTGGGGAAATGCAAAAATCAAACATTTGTCCACTGAGGCAGATGACTGAACAGAAAAAGGACAGTCATTCTGGTCAGTTGGTCAATATCTGGAGACCGTAATATGACAATAACAACAACAATAATAGTAATACAAAGTTGTTTATTTTTTTAAAAAAAAACTGTTATAGAGTATCCCCATAGAGGCCAAACATATGCAGAAACAGGAAGAATAAACTTGTTCATTCTTCTCAAGATGTCAGAATGGATTGCAAGTTACAGGCAAAATTCACAGACATGACAAAGCCTGGCCAACTCGTGTGAGAATCAGAAGTGAGCACAAACATGTATGTGACCCCTTACGTGAGCACGTGCACACACACACACACACACACACTTTATAATCAGTCAGTACAGTGTTATTCTAGTTTCCATTAGTCTAGTTCCAGTTCTACACTAGTAGAAAGGAAGGTTTGGACCACCAAACACAAAAAGAACCAGATGCTCACACTTAGACATGTGCAGAGTTGTTTTACAACAGGGGAGACTAACCTCTGGCCCATGGGGCTAATCTGGCCCACGGAGGTTACCTGCTTGGCTTGTGGAGGTTTGGACTCTCTCTGTGAGCTCCACTTCCTCTCCAGTCTCTGCCCCTCCTCAAGACCTGCCGTATGCCCTGGAGGCTACTGAGGACTTTAGGAGGAGGCAGACAGGGGAATCTCCTTGCAGTATCTGATCTGAGATCACAAAGAGATCCCCCCCCCCCGGTCGAGTGGGGGGTAAAGGGCATGCTAGGGAATCTCCTTGTTTTCTCTGGTCACAGGCTGCAGAAAGCAAACAGACATGAAGAGCAGCTTGTCCACCACCTGCAGAAGCTCCTACAAGCAGCTTTGCTCATGCTCTGGCCACCCCATGTAGGAAAACCAGGGACAGGAGAGGTTGGGCTGAGTAATTTTGTCTATCGTCTCTCCAGTGAAGGAAGCTCCATCTGTAGCAAAGCTGTCTCCCAGGGAACACCCCAGGGGCACACTCACCTGGCACACCTGTAGGGGACCAAATGAGATCCAGAGGTATGACTGCACCCCCAATGTCATGCTCCCATCACCCCTGGTTTATGAAATGGTGGCAACTACCCCATGCTTACCAAGAGAGCTCTGAGATCACATTGAAAGGTCAAGTCAGTTCACAATGCACACTTCAAAAAAACAACCAAGCAACTCATTAATTATCAGCAAAATCATAGCAAATCTAGACATACTGAAGGTGTGCAGATGTCATTATTCCCACTCCTGTCCAGAACTGATTATTCCATTTTTGATAGCATGCAAATGGATTATTTACTGGTAGTGGTGACGTATCTCTTTGCAGTGGTCATTGAAGCTGTCTAAGGCTGCAAGCATATGCACACTTGCCTAGCGGAAAGCCCTACTGAATACGATTGCTGTTAGTTCTGAGAAAACACATACAGGATTGCTTTACATACAACATTATCAGCAGATTGGATAAACTTTGTAGACCTCAAAGTGCTTAATTAAAGCAAAGGTCACTCCAAGTCATTTGCCTTCTTTGTATAATGTAAAGAAGCTGAAGAATGCATTTTCCAACGCAGTTCTGTGAGCTCTCAGTATGATGCCATGGGAACAGCAGAAATTTTGACACTGCAGATACATATTGGCTGTACCTGTGACACTGACTACAGACTTCCCCTTCCCAATTATTTTGGGAATTTTACATTAGGTTACTGGCACTTCAGGCAAAGACAGATGTCATACAGTTTGCAAAGAATCCTTCAGTTGCTTCCTGTGCAAGCCTGGCTTTCTAGCTGCTTCTCCTACCCTGCTACCTGCTTCAGATAGGCTGCCCACCCTTGATTTTATCTTCAAAGGAGGGATGGAAAGCCTGCACTTGCCCAGATGTTGCTGGACTCATTTCATCCACTCCAACCAGCATGGCCAACCGTCCAGAACTCTGAGAGTGAAGTAAGTCCAACTGGCTCCCCTCCCCTGCTCTAAGGCACCTCATGGTTCATGTATGTATCCATTCATTCACCAACCAACCCACTTCTTTTAAAGGAAAGCTTCTCTTTAAGTGCAAAACTACTCCAGTAAATGCCTGTGTAGAAGTGCCTTAGTGACATCACAGGGGCTAGCCAGCCAGCTGGCATCTGCTTCAAACCTGCAGTAACTGCTGTGGTTTTCAGTATCTAAGCCTGGAGAGGACACAACTTCTAAGTGGGAAGCACTGCGCTAAAACAAATGTATCATGTTTATCCTAGAATCCTTGGGAATCCACCTTGGCAGAGTTTTGCTCCATTTTCCCTTTTATTGGCTTGCAGACATGCACAAAAGTAACTCAATCCCAGGAGGGAGGGAGGGAGGGAGAGGGAGAGGGGGGGAGAGAGAGAGAGTCCAAATGCAGTGCCAGCTCCAGGTTCCTGAGGGCCCTTGGGTGAAGCACCCTCAATCAGCTCCCTCCTACAGGGAGTCTGCCTTCTCCCTGTCATGGCCACCAGCTCCTCTTGCCCCTTGTTCTCCTTCTTGGTATTGCAACCACTTGCTTCCTTTCAGGCAATAAAACAGGGAGCAAGCAGGCTGGGCATCTGCTGCTGCTCCTTCTCACCACCACTGTTGTCAGGGCCAAAGCAAGAGGCCGGCGAACAAGCAGGCTGCAAGGGTGAAGAGGAGGAGCAACCGTGGGGGCTCTTGTCGATGGGTCACTGCTAGAAAATGGGCCCTTGACAGATGCCCAACCATGCTTACCCCTGACACCAGCCTCACCCAGATGTAAAACAAACCCAGGTCTTTTGTGAAAGGGTTCCTTCCACCTTCCTTGGTCAAAGTCGCATGGTAACATCTCAGTGGGAGAAAATATGACCTGGCCTGACAGTGATGCACCAGGAGCTTGGTCCTGACTCCAGACCTTCTGAGCCCTCCCAGAAGAGGGTTATTCTGAACTTGGGGAAGGAGCAGAGTCCACATCCTCCATGACATGGTCCTGGGGCGATGCTGGCTGTCCACCTTTGACGCGCTTCCACTTCATCCTGCGGTTCTGAAACCAGACTTTGACCTGTGTGAGAAGAGGGCAGAGATGTACAGTGAGCTCCTATGCAATCCATGGGAATGCTAATGCTTCTGTGCACAGGTACCCAGCAGTCACACTGGGTGTACCAAGGCACAACGATTGGTGTGCTCTGTTGATCCATTCTGCCCTGAGATCAGCGGCTTTAATCTGTGAGAAGGGAGAGTTTGATTTTTTATTGTGAGTTTAAGGGTGTTTTATAGTATTTAATTGACATGTATGTCACCTGCCCTGGGACTGTAAGGTGAAAGGCATGCTATAAATCTAAAGAATAATTCATTACTATAATGAATTTATTTTATGAATTAATCAAAAGAATTATGGATGGATAGGGCAGTGGATTTTCTTTATAGCTGGTGATATGGTTGGTGGAAGGAGTCTTGGTAAGAAGCAAAATTTCTTTACTTTGGCAAGGAAAGCAGAAGTGCTCAGGACTGGCTAACAGGACTGGCGCCAGGTTTGAGGGCCCCCCCTCCCTCACCGGCATCCCTGCCCCTTTCAGTCCATCCTGGCAAACTTGTCTGCCTACAGCAGTAGCTCTCTGTTGCAGCTCCTTTTACAAATGTTAATTAATATTAATTTATTTTTTTAAACTAGGATGGGGTCATTATGGGAAAGTTAGATGCTTGGAGGGCCAGCAACAGCAAAATGAATATTGTGCTTTCCAGCAATAAAATTCAACACCAAAGATTTAAAGTTTAAACCATGGTTGTAACATTCCAGCAAGCCTGTGGCAAATTATCCATGTGCTTGTGTGGCCAAGGCAGGGATGGGCACATGGTCTGAAGAGTGCCCAAAGCACGCCCATCCCTGGGCGCTCTTTGACCACATCAAGCACACTTTTGTTGCATCAATTCTGAGCCATTTGTTTGAAAGGTAGAGAATTGGATTCAGACTAAAAGGTTTGTTCTATTTATTTATTTTTCAATTTATATCCTGCCTTTTTCCTACAAAGGGCTCAAGGCAGCTTACATCATTCTCCTCCTCCATCTTATCCCCACAACAACAACCCTGTGAGGTAGGTTGGGCTGAGAGTCTGACTGGCCCAAAGTCACCCAGTTGGCGCCATGGCTGAGCAGGGACTGGAACCCAGATCGCCTGAGTCCCAGTCCCACACTCTTAACCACTACACCACACTGGCTCTCCCAAAGGTTGAGTTTGGGTTCAGTATGGCTTGTCATTGAACTGTGGGTTATTGTTGAATCAGGGGTTATTATGCTATCTGAACCCAACTGAGGAAACAAACCATGGTGGACAACCCATAGCTCAAAACCTAGCAACAATCCACAGGTTCTCTTCATGGTTTTTTTCCAGCTAACAAACCATGCCTTTTTAGTGCAACTGGGTAACCTACATTTCAGCAACAACCCACATTCAACCCATACTTAAACCTTAAATATGAGTTTATCATGTTGCCAGCCAATGTGTGAGATTATTTTCATCACATTTAGGATCCAAGCACAATGTATCATACCACTGAGGAATTTTATTTTATTCTTTACCATAGAGTATATGCGAATGACCCCAATTAGGACTGGGATCACCATACCACTAGAAGGAGATGGAGCACCATTCCACCCCACACACTGGGATTAAATCAAGAAAAACTGTATCAATGGAGATTTCTCCTCTTTTTTCACTCCCTGCAAGGGAGGGGATTTGGGGGAATGGAGCCAAGTTACAACCTCCCCTACCAATGTATGGTGGTCCTGATATAAACTGAGGCTGCATATAATTAGCAGAAGAGGAAGGGTAAGGTGTTCAGCTACCTACTATTCAATTCCCATAATGTGTGGGTTGACACTTGGAAAGGGTGAGGGTGAGGGACCCGTCCAGAACTCCTCAGCCCCAGTTCCACAGAGCTCTCAGGGGCATGAAGACCACTGATCCTAATCCCTCTCATGCCTGCTCATGCTAATGTGTGTTCATAGAAGTGGGTGCTAGAACAAGCTTGGATTTACACACAAGTGAAATTCCAGGGTTTGTTTGTTTGTTTTAAATTCTGATTCCGCTGAAAAGCAAACTATTTTATTTATTTTTATTTATTTATTAAAACATTTCTATGCCGCCCCTTGCCGAAGCCTCGGGGCGGCTCACAACATCGAATAAAATACACAATAAATTAAAACAATAACAATTAAAATATATACAGTAGAATATGAAGTGGTAGAACCCTGATGATCTGCAAAACACAGCTGGGCAGACTGAACCAGATGTGCACATCACTCCTTATACCAAGCCAGGCCATTGGTCTACCTACTCGGAACAGTTTACACCAGGGATGGGAGCATGAGGGCCACCACACATGGTAGGATTCCATATCCCTTGAGCTCCAGCCAGAACAGACAGGGATGATGCCATATTCTGACAAAATTGGATTCTGGTGATACTTTTCCCATCCCCTCCTAGATCTACCAGTAGATGCTAGGGATTGAATCCAGAGAGCCAGTCAAAAGTGGTAATTCATAATGGGTGAACTGGCCATTCTCCTCTCATCTGATTGAAATATTAAACAGAAATCAGTATTCCCCTAACCTTCTCAGGCTTCTCCCTCTGCTGCCCACTCTGCCTAGGAAGTGGTCCAGGAACCACACTCAACAGAAGGAGCAGAAGGGTCCCCCAGTGCAGCAGGGATGGCATATCACATCCTGAAATTAAGTGAGACAGTACGCATGGACTTCGAAGGGAGGAGGAGGCCCTATAAGACCAGGTATTGTTGTCCTGATGGCTCAGGTGGGTGTAAGCATCACCTGTCTTTCTGTCAAGTCAAGGTTCACTGCAATCTCATATCTGCGGAGCCGTGTCAGGTAGTTGTGGTGTGCAAATTCTGCCTCCAGCTCCCGCAGCTGGTCCTTTGTGAAGGCTGTGCGCTCTTTCCGCGTCTTGGCACTGTTGGTTTCTGCTTTCGTGGTACTCGGGATGGCACTCCCACCACCTGTGTCCTGGCTCTCTGTAAGAGGAAGAAAACAGAAATGCTCCTATAGCAACCAAACCAAGCCCATCAGGAGAAGGAAACAAGTGGGCATTGCTCAGAAAATGAATGATCCAACAATCCCTGATAGTAGGTATTCTGGGGGGCAGCAGACTTTGGGGGTTGGTTTGAAGGGGAGTTTCACAACATTGCTGCCAAGTGGAAGACGTGCTCATAAGTCTAAGATGGCGAGCATGGGAAGGGACAAAACAGTCAGTTTCCAGAAGGCAAGGTGGCAAGGCTAAAAGAAAAGTAAGTTGTCCATGAACCTGAGTACAAAGCAGAGGTGGGTCTGAGCTCCAACATGCAAAACCACTGTGTGGACCCCAAACTAAGCTGGTGATGTTCATGCATATGATGCACATGTCTGGAAGAGAAAGGTCTCTGATTGTTGCTTAATCACATTGAAGCCTGGCTCATATACCCAGAGCAAACTAAAAATTTGTGCCACTTTTCAGTCATGATGGTGTATACTATGACTGTATTCTCATGTCAGAATTTGGCTGTACATGCCTGAGCAGAAAGAGGCCTAAAAATAATAAAGATTCAAGCATTACCTCTTCCTGTCTGTTTCACCAGCCTGACCAGTAGGAGAAATGAACCAGCATCACTTTGCCTAATTCCTGGCTTTTTGTTATATGTCTATGAAGAATCATGGGTTATAACCATCTCTTAGAACAAAGCAGCTAAACAACCCAGGATTTGCATTTGGCTTGCTTAACAATTCACAAAACTTTATTTTAAACCATAATTCCTGGACCATACATAACAAGAAGTCAGAAATCATGCACAGTGAAACTGAATGCTAGTTTATTTTTCTTCCCAGGTTCATGGGATAAAGACATGGGGGAGGGAGCAGGAGAACCACTGAGAATGTTTTCCACTCATGCATATAACCTTAAACCATGGTTTAGTGTTACAAGCAAAGCCTCTCACTTTTTTCTATAGAAAAATTATCTTCATATAGGATAAGCATGTGTGTAAAACAACCCTTGGTAGACAAATCCTTACATATGACATTTGATACTGGAACAACACTTGCTGGCATCCCTACAAAAGTCCATGATTCATATCTGGATCACTCATAACAAAAGCCAAAAGAAATAGCATCAGTGCCTAGTAATGATGCAATGAGGGCTGAATCTAAATTTAGGCCTAATCAGAGCAGACACACTGAAATGGGTGGGACTTCAATTAGGTATGACTAACTTAAATCATGCTAATTTCAATGGTTCTGCTCTGAGTAGACTAAATCTAAAGCCAGCCCTGATGAAGAATTGATGTAGCAGTTGAAAGAGAAACTGTATAGTTGCATGATCTTTAAAACAAATAAACAGATGTGTAGAACTGAGAAAGGCATTAACTACTAGCAGGTATTGCCCGAGTTTATCTGGGCCTGATGTATTTTTAAAGGCTGGTGATGATACAGCAGGCTTGCAAAAAGAAAAAAATAAAGGGGAGAGTGTGGAACACTTTAATGAACTTGGCTCCAGATCATATTCAGAAAAGAATCCCAAGACTACTTAACACAGAATATACTAATTTCATGCGTGCTGCTTGATGTTTTTGAGATTCTCTCCTGCTCTTGATGTGTGCATGTAAAGGATAGACATGTTTTGAAGGCATGTATCAGGGCTTTTTAATCAGTCAGTGTGCATGTGGGAAGGTCAATTTAAAACTGCTTTTCAATATCCCTGTGGGGCTGTTTTGGTGTCAGGCGTGAACAAAGGCCTTTTGTGTGGAGTCCTGCACCCACAGAGTGTTCCCATGAAATTGTACACATTTGGGAAAGGCCGCCCAGCTTTCCACATTTCAACCTTGCCCTATGTTAAGTGATCCTTTCGTTATTATTAATAGTGCAACTCTTTTGCCCAATCTCTCTTCCTTTTCTGTTCTGGGGGTCAACTGTGGCATATTGAGGGGAGAAAACTGTGTTATTTATGACATAATTCTATGCTTTAGATAGAAAAATGTCCTCCAACTCCCAGCATGCTCCAGCTAGGACTTCGGTTGGAGATTTTCCTGTCTGAACCTGAATAGGATTGCATCCTTATCTATATCCCAACATTTCTGTCAAAATGGCAACTAGAGTGGATAAAAATAACATCCAGATTAAAAGCAAAAACTTAATGAAGCATAGCATAAAAACAAATACATGAAAAACACAATTAAAATGCAACAGTAAAAGAAACAAATAGTATCAACTGCTTTGGTGAAAGATCAGTTTGTATGTCCAAGACCAGCCCGAATATAAATGTATTTTATTAATAAAAATGCCAGCAAAAGGACACAGGGAGGAACCAAATCTAAACCTCCTCAGCAGGGATTTCCTTAGCCTGAGAGTCACCACACAGAAGTCCTTGAACTCCTTGCAGAAAGATAAAATTTTAGTAAACAAAAGAGTAAGTAAATACATGTACTTTCATAGTTAATATATGTACAAGGTTCCATCTCTCTAATCTCTACTACCCTTCAGTTGATGGGCAGTAAAATTCCCATCATCCCTGAAAATTGGCCACACTGGATAGGCAGATGGGAAGCACCATTTTGTTCACTGGCAGTACCCCACTGATCAAGGATTCAGGATCAAGCCCAGCATCCAGGAAAAGCAGGATCTGATCCATTTCAACTCCTGATCATGTGGGCAGATCTGCTTGGCTCTGCAGAACGCAACTCTCACATGAGGCAGGGCCTGGACATTAGCTGGGATTCCTGCCTAAAGGAAACTGTCCACTTAGCCTCAAACGTTTTAGTCCTCACACGGGGAACTGTTGGCTGCATTTTCCTGGCCTGGGCTGCAAGTCTGGATTAAATGAGACATTCATTTCTCCCATCTACCCTTCACTCACTCTGAAAAATCTGCTTGCATTTCAGCCCAGGAGAAACAACCACTTCAGGAAGGAACAAGCAGGCGTCTACCAGGCCTAATCCAAGGGAGAGGGTGGTCACTCACTTGGGGGCATATTCCAGTGGTAGGCAGAGCTGATGGCAAAAAGGCAAGAGGCTGAAATACCCAAACTTCCAGCATACTGTAGTTTCAAGCATTCTGGACTGCCAGTAGTGAAGCCTCAGGAGGGACATTTCAGCCATTTTAGAATGGGGAAAACCCACAAAGAAGCCTGGAAGCAACTGGATGGCCTGCAGGCCAGACTTTCTGCCTCCCAAACTGCCAATGCCTTTATTTACAAGATTCAGCCACAGTACAATTAGCAAGCCATGAACAACAGAAAGGAAGACTGAAAGAACCAAAACAGAGAGGTAAATTTTTAAAGATCAAATCACGGCACTAAAACTGTGGCTGGTTTGTCAGGAAAGGCTTGTTTAAACAAAAAGGGCTGCAGGAGATGCCAAAAAGGAAAGGTTGGTGGCCTCTTTGGCACCCACAGGCAGGGAGTTCCACAGAGACGGAGCCAGTTCACTGAAGGCTTCACTCCAAGAAGACTGCAAGTCAGTACAAAACCTCCAAGATGCCTCCGCTGACGACCTGCAGGACCAACAGGCTGGCAAAGGAGAAAGTTGCTGAGTGATTTACATCCCAACACTAAACTTTAAACCAAGGGTCTGCAATGCAACACCTCTGCACCCCTCCAATGGGGCCTGTAAAAGGGTCCCCAAGGAGGAGCTTGCAGGTGAAAAAGTATTCTACAAAAGAATTCCAAACAATTCCTCCTTTTCATAATATAGGTACACAGATTTGTATGAAATGCATACAACTTCCTAGCAATTATACATAGGTTTCAACAAAAGCAAACCAGCTATCCAAATAAGTTTCCCTGTGAGGTTGGTGTCCAAAGTGTTATAAGGTCCTTAGTACATTGCATTATAGATAATAAAGCTTTCCAGTTTTGTAACATTGGTCTAAAGGGTGCAGAAAATCCATTTCCTTTTCCAGTTCTTAATGTGTATGAAGCAAATAAATAATTTTAAAGAATTTGTACATCAGTGAATGTGAAAGACCATTCCAGTTCAAAAAGTACTTGTGTAGTAACCTCTCCCTAGAAGCAGCAACTTCTGTTCCTTGCCAAAGCATATGGAAGCATAGTTGTATTGCACCATCGGCAATTAGCAGAACTGGAAACTCCCTTGGAAACAGACATTTTGATTTCCAATAGACATGAAACAAACATTTGCTGAATAAGATGCAGCCTAAGATCCATAGACGCAACAGGTAGACACCAGAGCAGTGATTCACCAATGAGGCTTTTTGTGGGGCTGCCTGTAGCAGATTCTCAAATTCCCAGGTGTCCCCTTGGGGTACCCTGCCTTAAACTGCAGGCTCCAGACCAGCCTTAAGTGCAGCCCCAGAGAAAGCTTATTGCAGTAATCTGGAAGTTCTGCATACCTGTGCTATCTAACTGAGCCCTTCTTCATGCAAAGCAGATGCCCCACCACTGAAAAGTGGTTCTTCTATTAATTCTGCTGCAGCTTGCCTAACACTTAGGGCATCTGGGGAGAAAACAAGACCCCTCACGATCATGGGCCTCCACTGGATGGCAGCAGTGCAGCTGAGAATTGTCGGCTCCAAAAAGAGTATAGTCCTTTGCTTATTTGTGATTGACATTTATCTATCACTTCCACCATCGAGTAGAAAGGTGGAGTATAAATCCACCCCCCAAAACATCAAACAAACCAAGTTGCAAGGAAAATGCAAACTGAGCCTTCCCCTTAGTGGCATGGATGGAACTGGTATTTCTGGGGGCATGTCCTAGGCAGCCTCTTTTTGAGTTGCTGGCTGTGGGAGAAGCAGTCCCCACTTGCGTTTCCTCTCTAGCTGGTTTCCATGTGAAGCTGAAACTGCCATGTGCATCCAGGAAGCATGGCAGTCCACCAGCAAAAACCATGAATGGCACAGAAAGACAGAGCTCCTGCCAGGACCTTGGACACACCTTCTGAAATCATCGTAGGGCTTCCACCTTCCCTTCAGGTTAGGAAGGCTTTTTCCATGCTGGCTGAGGCCTCAAAGATGGAAGACTATTTGGGGGGCACATGCTGAGGGGGGTGGGGGGCTGGCATTCTGAAAGGTGAGGAAGGGAAAGGTGAAGCACCGCTGACTTCTGCCAATTCCAGGCAGTGCCTCAGCCCCTCCTCTTCCTCCTCATAGGAAGGGGAGAAGCATTAGGCAGCTGGTCTAAATGTTGCTGAGGGCAAGGGGATGGTGGAGGCAGACCTTGTCTCCAGGGTCCTCCCACCACTCCTCTGGATGCCTATAACCATAACATTAAACAGAAAGATCCAGATCGTTACTTTTGCTAGTGTTCTCTATCTGTAAAATGGGTACATCTCCTCTCCTGTTTTCTAAAGGAACACAGGATGGAAGGAAAAATCATTAGTTTTACAACACTTTCGTTCCTTGATAATATGTTGTATATATGGATGTGGTATGTTTTGTGCAACCTGATGTGTGCACCATTGATGAAATCATTCGCTTTAGTTTTTGCCTGTGTGTACATTGTAAGTTCTTGTTCTGATGTTGCAGTACATTGGCCTGGCCTGCATTATTATGGAAGTTTAACAGCAGATCACACATCCCATCATTTGCAAGGGACTTAACTTGCTGAGAAAGAATTCCTCCCCTGAATAAACCAGATAGGCTCCATTGCAGAAAGCTTGTGCCATACATTTGAAGGTCTATAACGTGTCATAGGACCCTCTGTTGATTTTGGAGGAAAGTTGTTATTGCTCTGATATAATTGTGCCAGATTGGAAAGGGCCATATAACTCCAGATTTTATGTATTTGTTTGTTTATTGAACATATTTATAGGCAGCTTATCAAGGTGGCTTATACAATAAAATCAGCACAGAATAAATACAACATCACTGAAAATAATCAGATTGTCTTAGGAAATTAAAACAACAAGTTAAAATATTTCATTTAAAACCTATCATTTAAGAACTTAAAATGGATCAGGTCAGAGTTGATTAAAACAGCCAGGTCATTAAGCCTGTTTAGAAGCACTTGGTGAGGAGTCAGATTAATTCCTTGTAAGAAGAGTTCCATAATGACGGGGCTGCCCTTGAAAAGGCCCTGTCTCTTGGGCCTGTCAGCCTAGTGGCATTTATTGATGGGCCTATGAGAAGGTCTTAATAGCTGGGCAATGGACAGTGGCCATGTATCCTGTTTCACGGAGGACTGCTGTCTTTATTTGAAGGACTACCAGAGGACCATCCTCCATTGAGGACACCTTCTGCTAGAATGACTATCCTGACCAATTCCAGTTGCCTATCAACAGGTTGCACCTGAGCAGCAGGCTGAAGAGGCAGGCACACGGGTCACCTGGCCACAGCCTTCCACACCTTGTGAGATGTGCCACTTTTCCATTCAGTTGCAATAATCATCATTTCTAAATTTGCGTCTAATAAACACATGCCAACCCCTTTCCCCCTTGGTCCTCTAGAGCAGGGGTGGGCAATTAATTTTCCTATGGGGCCACATGAGAAACTTTGACAGTTGTTAAGGGCCGGACCAATACACTTACAGCTCTGCTCAATAAATATCTCTATGAAAACAGTAAATGAAACTTTACAATGATACAATGAAAATGTGGAGCACAGAACAACACTATTTAATGAATATTCACGAAAACATTAACATTACATGAAAAGCAATAAAGTCAATTCAATTGAGCAGAGCCTTCAAAATAAAAGCAGTGCAGTTGTACTGCTTGCATCTATATTACGACGATATATATTTGCATTGACTTTTAATTTGCCAGTGACCTCATGCGGGCCAGTCAGGGTCAGCCATTGGGCCGGATGTGGCCCGCGGGCCGTACAATGCCCAGGTCTGCTCTAGATGGTCATTCCTTAGTGTCCATCCTGAAGGGCAGGCTCATAAGGTACAGGCAGCCCTTCAGAGAACCAGTTCTCAAGCTGTTTAGCCCTTCAAGTATGGCCAGCACTTGAATTGGGCCCAGAACCACACTGATATCAAGCAGTGCAGCTGATTCAGAGTTGATTCTACATATTTCTATTGATTAGCCTGGACAGGTGTCCAGGCACCTGCCTTCCATCCCAGCTGAAGTTTCCAAACGGTCTTCAAAGAGATGGCCCCACAGAGACTGTATTATAGTAGCCCATTCTAGAGGTAACCAGGGCATGGATCACTGTCACAAGACCTACTTTCCCAAAGGAAGAAATGCCAACCGCAAATCAGCTGAAGCTGGCAAAAGCTCTATTGATAGCATCGAGCCTGCTGCACTAGAGCTGAGCAAGCAGGGGGACAATGGGGAAGCAGCCAGGAGAAGCCAAGGTTGTGCTGTCTTTTCAAGGGAAGTTTCACCACACCCCCAAGTTCCAAAGCCTATGGGCTGGAGGTGGTCACACTTCTATGTGGAACTGGGGGTGTCACCCCATTCAAGCATCAGCCTTCCTTTCCGGCTAGTTTGAAAAGCACCCTTTGCGGGTTGCTGTGATGTGAAAAGCTGAAGGTACTTATTCTAGGGCATCTTTAAAAGAAGCTGCACAAGTGGTTATAAGAAAATTCCTGTTTCAGAGCACTATTCTCCAGCAGGGGTGTTAACAAAGATCATTCAGCATCTCCTCAAGACTATAACCTCCAAGATTCTCTCAGGGAAGCCCTGGCATTTCCACAAGCTTCAAAGGTTGTACCCAGTCAACACCATATCAGGAGCAGTCCAAAGCAGCCCCTTCCCCTGAGCAGGCTGGCCTCATTCTGCTTTCCGTGGCCATTGTGATGTTACTGGATGCGGAGTGGGACGGGGCCTTCTCTGCACGGGTGCTCAGGTTATGCAATTACATCTTGCCAAAAGAACCAGTTCCCCTCACCCCTCATTACTGGCCTTTCGGTGGCCTGTTAAAACCTTTTCATTCCATGATGCCTTCAGTTTATTGCCCTGCACCTCTGTTGCTTTACCTCTGCCCTGTTCTGCGGCAATTACTTTCTCTTCATTTTCTTCACTGTTACTATGAATAACAATATTATTTCTCATAGTGATAACTCTGTGTGCATGTGGATGGATGGATGGATGGATGGATCAGCCTTCCTGAACCCAAAGCCCTACAGATATGTTGGTCTACAACACCCATCAGCCCCCAGCCTGGCTATCGTTTTAATTTATGCCATGAGCAGTTTTGATAACCTCCAGGCTAAAAAGTAGGATAACATACCAAGAAAACAAAGCAAGACAGTGCTGTCGAGAACTGCGGTGCAAAACTCCCCCTACCTGCGTTTCCCCGTTTCCTTCTGGATGTTTTTTTCTCCGCTTCGCTCACTGCATTCCCTGCCTGGATATAATCCTCGCTCATGCCATTGTCCACCACGTTTGGGCTGCTGCTGTCAGGCTGTCCTAATCCTAAAGCCAAGTCTGCGGGCAGCCGCCTTCGGCCTTCAGACGTGGTAAAAGGCCAGGCAGGGAGCTGGCGCTGAAAGGAGTGCTGATGCTCTTCAAAAGCCTGTTCGTCCCGGGGCAGGCTTTGAGGGGCTGCAGCCAGGCAGGAGGTGGAAAAGTCCGAATAAGCAGCAAAGTCTGGCTTGTGATGGAATGCAAAGGGGGCTTGTGGGTAATGGTGCGGCCCAACAGTACCTCCAGACTCAGCATAATGGTTGCGCAGGCACCCCCAGAGTGCAGTGGTTGGATGAGGATTTCTCATGCAGCTACTGGCAGCAGGTGAATCCATCTAGCAGGAAAGAGGCTTCTCTCATAGGATGCTCTCAAGTAAAATTCTGGTTGGGAAAAGTAAGGGGTAAATTGTCAGTTTTTGCAGAGGGCAAAACCCCCAGTTCCCTCCAGCTTAAAGACTTGCTAGCCAGCGGCTTTTGAGCTGTCATGGGTTTGTTGGTTTGGGAGGTCTGGCAGAATTCTCCATCACAGCGGCAAGGAAACTTCACATCTGCTGATTCTGAAGCTGGGAGCTTTCTTGCTGTGAAATGCTGAAGGTCCTGAAAACACTTTTTAAATACTTTGCCGGGGTGTGAGTGACAAGTTTAGGAAGGGAAATGTGAGAGAGAGGGGAACAGGAGGGAGGGCTTAACCTGCATGTACAACCCCTCCATCCAAAGCCAAGCATGCGACGATTAATCACTCGAAACCTTAGAGGCGCATCTAATGGGAACTGCAGATGGAGACTTTTAAAGAAACACTGTCTGTACTTTAAAAAAAAGTGTGGGGGGAATGTGCGTGCGCACGCACACACACACATGCACACACACGAACAAGGAGGGTTTAATGTTTCCTTCTCACACTCTGAAGTTATTTTTATTGCACAGTTAAGAAATAAAACCCACATTTTGGATTTGGAACAATAAAATTCTGCACCAGATCCAGAAGCCAGCCCACGGACTGTAAGAGAGAACAAATAAGATTAGGAAAGAGCTTTGGTGAAGAGGGGGTGAGATTTAAAATCTAAAGACGGAATCAAAAGTTGGAAGTTTATGCAGACAGAGAAAGGGAACCAGTGCAAAAGTTTTCAGGCAAGAGGTGACCTGAAAAAAGCAATGGGAGAAGAAGCCAAGTTGCTATATGAACCAGTTCAGCCTCTAATGTGCTGCAGAAGTTTTGGTTAGAGTGGCAACTTTTCTGACCAATGGAATTTGCTATTGCATGTGTTGATTTCTTCATTACTTTTCCAGAGAATCTTCAAATACTGATAGACAAAAATGACCCATTATTATCAGTAATGTTCTCCTCAAGCTAAAAAGGCAGCATTACAAATTTGGTCCTATGTTCTCTCTTATTACAAGTTTTCAAATTATCTTCATATTTTGGCACACGCCCAGCACTGAAGCCCATCATGAGAATGCGGTTTATGTAATATGATGTGGTGTGATGTAATACATTGTGCTTCAACCTTCTCTTCCTGGCTGATACCATGGGAGCTTTATTGACAGCAGTCAGCATCCAAGCATGCACCAAGAGGGCAGAAGTTGCCTTATCATGTCAATTCCATCCTCAGCAATCAAAAGTCCCCAACTTGGAGGCATCCAATCATCCAGTGAGGTATGGCAGTGGTGATCTTTGCCTCCCCACCCTTCAGATTTCACTAGGTGGACTTTTTAGCCTGTCTCATACGGGCCCTTCAGAAGGACGAGGAAGGACACCGGACTTGTATCCTGGCCCTTCCAGCCTCCTCCCCTCCTCGGTCATCATATTCCTCTTCCTCCAAATTCACTTCTGCAACTTCAGAGGGTGGATTGTGCAGTTCTTTCCACACCAGCTGCAAGGGGTGGTGGAGGAGGTTTGGTTGTCCACTCCCACCTCCAAGGTCAGAGTGATGTCTCCCTCTAACTATGAAGAATTCCAAACAATCCAATGGTCCCTCTCAGGACACTGAAAACACAAACATGCAGAAAATGCAAATTCACTTGTGTATTCAATCTTCGCTTGAATTAAGAAAACATTAAAATTTATTAGAATGAAGTCAGGGCTCATCATGCATCGAAGAAGTATGAACCGACTGCATTCAGCTCACAAATCAATGCATTTGGGTGGCATCCCTTCTCCTTGCTGCTTCTCTCTGCACAAACACATTCTATTTCCCCCACCAGTGGGATCCAGGAGTGTACATCAGGCATTCAAAAGCTGTACTCATGGATTATAGCCAGGGGCATGCATATTCCTGCCCTCTCCACCCTGACCTCCCCAGGTTGACATGAAAAGTCTGAAAGAGAAATGGAGTCCTGTGCGGTTGTGAGTCACTGTGCCCTGTGGAGGATTGCGCTCACATTCCACGAAGCACAGCCACAGTTTGCCATCAGATCTTCCTCATCATCTGGAGTGGCAGGGCCAGCCTGCGTGCTTCCCACGCACTCTACCATTACAGCGTTCGGACACCCAGAGAGCTTCGTAGTTCTAAGAGCTTAAGAAGAGCCCTGCTCGGTCAGACCAAGGGCACATCTAGTCCAGCATTCTGTTGACACAGGGGCCAGCCAGCTGCCCACAGGATCCTTCCAGCGGGTACGACAGCAACAGCATCCTCCTGCCCGTGTTCCCCAGCAGCTGTGTCCAGTGAGGCAGAATAAGGGCATCAGGACTAGCACCATCAATAGCCTTCTCTGTGAATGTCTCCAAACCTCTTTTAAAGCCATCCAAAGCAGTGGTCACCACAAAATCTCATTAATTCCATAGTTTATGCAGTATGTGAAATATCACCTTCTATTTGGGCTGAATTTCCCAGCAGTCGGCTACATGGGATGATCCCAGGTATTAGTATTATGGGAGAAGGAGAAAAGTGCCTATGTATCTATGTTTTCCACACCATGCATAATTCTATACACTTCTATCATGCCTTCCTTTACTCACCATTTTTCTAAGCTACACAATCTCAGCAGTTTGTTTATTTATGAGATTTATATCTCACCTTTTACTTTTTTTAAAGGGCTCAGAGCAGCGTACCTGCTCATGCTCCTCCTCCTGCTCTCAGTCTTATCCCTGCAACAACAACAACCTTATGAGATGATGGGGCCGAGAGCCTGTAAGGGGCCCAAAGTCACCCAGTCGGCTCCATGGCTGAGCAGGGACTAGAACCCAGTTCACCTGCATCCCAGCCCCTCACTCTTAACCACTGCACCACACTGGTTCTCACACAACAATTGTAACCTTTTCTCATAGGAAAACTGTCCGACACATTCATCATTTGGTGGCCATTCTCTGTGCTTTTTCCAGTCCTACAATATCCTTTTTAGGCACAGTGACCAGAACTGTACATAGTATTCTAAGTATAAACACACCATAGATTTGTATAAGAGGTGTATGATATTGGCAGTTTTATTTTTAATTCTTTTCCTAAGTATTCCTAACATGGATTTTTCCTTTTTCGCAGCAGCATGTTTCAGGCAGATATTTTCATTGAGCTGGCCACCATCATCCCAAGATAATGTTCTTAGTTAGTCGTTGCTAGCTCGGATCCCATCAACTTGCATTTGAAGTTGGGATGCTTTGCCCCAATGTGCATTATTTTACCCTTTCCCCTCATTGTTTCTCAAAAGCATTCCTGATTTCTCAGTCTGAATCCACAGATCAGTTAAAGGTAAGAGCTCCAATTTCGCTTAGCAGGATCTGGAGAAACAAATAGTTTGCCAATCCACTTTCAGGATACAGCAAATGAAAATGATGATGCCTGCCACTCCCTGCTTCCTTCCTCTCAGCTTCATAGGGTGATTCCATCCAGTTCTAGAAGCCTCTCCATTTTCTCTACGCCATGCATAATTTTGTACATCCCTATCCTGTCCCCTTAAGAGGTTGTGACTCAACAGTCTGGTGAATTTTTTTGGAAGCTGTCTCAAAATAAGCAAATATCAATATGTGAGAATGACTAAATATAACATTTCAGACCCATATCTTGAAAACTGTTGATTCTGTGCCCGTCTATTGGCTTAATAAGTACCAGATGGTACCACTCTAAGCCTAAAATGGGGTGGAGGACTACAGCTGCCATCATCCTAGTCCATTGGCCAGGTTTGCTGCAGCCTCTAAAGTTGTTGTTGGCTAGAGGTTTCCCTTCCTTGCCATAAACAATAGTCAGAATCATCTCCCAGGCTGTCTGGTTATGCCTGTCTGGTTGCTTTTAAAAAAAAGATTTTACATTCCATGAATGTTTCCGTACTGGATACTATTTTATTGAAACTTTGATCATACCATTACATAAACCAGAAATGTTCATTAAAGCATGCATAAACCCTTGAACTCCTTTTCTTGAAATAAAACCTGGCATTGTATTCATAAATCTGAAAGTAAACTTCTAGACACCAAACTGCTACTTCATTTCAATCCAGTGTTTGAAGGCTCAGTCCCAAGATTCTGCTGGCAGTGCCAAAGCTCAGTCTTGCAAAACATGGTGTGATCAAAAAGAAAAGAAAGAATAGATCCTGATCATGGACAGAGAACAAGGTTGTATATGAGCTTCTGGCCTCTACTTCTGTCTCCAGACATAACCCCAAGCAAATATTACTTTCCATCAGGGTTGACCCAAAGTCATCATTTGCCAAACCTGAACAGTAAAGGTACGTACCAAGTGATAAACAGTCTGGTTTCCAGTCTTATGTTTGGTTCATCCCAAACACTGAAATTTTTAAGAAGTTTACATCAGAATTTGAGTGCATTTCCTCATTGCTTGAATTTTTGCATGCATGTTTGCCTAATACACATTGTTGGCAAGCAATTTTTATAAATGCATTTTGAACATTATTTGAATAAATATTCTGGAGGTGCATGCTGATCGTGAGATTCAGCATGGACTCCAGTTTTTCACATTGGAAAATGCTCCAATTCTGCTTGGATCAGTTCAGAAGGCCTCAGCTTTGCCTTGGGTATTGAACCTAAGTTGAGATTCAGAAATCTGAGGCCTCATGCCTTGCACTGACTATCATGGGAAATCAAAAAGCAGCTATAGCTTTTTTTTTTCCCTGTTTGCCAGAAATGAAAGAATGTCTGTTTTAGGATAGCCTCTAACCCTCTCCGAGTGATGGATAGGAGATCCCCAAGTAAAATTTTCCCTGTGATTGGAAGGCAAACCTGTCAGTGACTCAACCACACACCCTCCCCCTCATCAACATTAAGAGAAATGAAAGCAAAAGGCAGAATTTTTGGAGATATTGTGCAAGTCTTTCCTTGGCTTATTTGGGAATAAGGCCTTTTGCAGGGTTCAGCTTTGGTCCTGATCACTTTAGAACAAAGCCCTTT